ATGAAGGCAGGTTGAATTTTGGCTCTAGAAATTCATTCCTAAGACATAACAAGCTACTCTTTTTAGAGGCTTTTGGCCACTTATCTAATTTGTGAATTGTACCAACTTAAAATGGAGAGCTCTTACTATTACAGGCCGCAGCATCGAGATGAAAGTACAGAATCGACCGCGCTCCTCAATCAGAGCTTTTCTGACAGCTTGCTTCTCAGTTTCTTCAAGCAGCAGGTACTTATCATTGACATCTTGTAAAGCACTATCCAACTGGGGCTGAATATCACCCCGTCCTGTATGCAGGAAACAATCAAGAGTACATTTTGTCAAAACCGTAGATTTCCATAGACAAAGACCTTATTTTCCACCAGCACTGCAGTCGGATTGTGCTTTTGCAATTCAAGTCTCAATTAGCATTTTCCCTTAATTCAAATTAGTAAGGTTTTTTTTTCCCAAAAAAATCAAGCATTTCATAGCACTTATTTTTTTCCCTTTTGCATAGAATAAGAATCCATCTGAACTCAAAAGGTTTCAACAAGCCAAAGACAGCATTTCACATAAGGACTTTCTCAAAGCGTTAGCTGTAGAAACCCTCCACATCATCCTTGCTAAAAATCAACATCTTACTAAGTGGGAGAGTATTAATCATTAACCCCAGGTATATTCCTCTTCCCTCCTACTTTTGCACTTAGCAAGGTCCTAATGACAACTTTGTGGAGTCACTAAATGAGTGAATGAATCTCCTATATGAGATGGTACTAAGGACATGTTACTGATCATTGGACCACTGGACTCAAGCACTCTACGCAAGCAACTGCTAAAGCAGTTTTCTTCGTTCCGAAGTCCAAAACAAAAAAACCTATCAACATCTCAAATACATATTAATGTCCAGTACTTGTCTATGGAAATAAAAAAGAACCAATGTTTTGCAATCAAAAAGCTTCACTCTGTTAATTATAGACAACTCATAATACCAAAACTTTCTGTGACAGTTAAGTACCTTATTCTGCACCAATTGCTTACTCTACATCATGCCAAAAATTCATTCCTCTAGGAATGAAGAGCTGCTGCTTAGCCATAGCATTACTGAGTCAACAATGTTGCAGTTGCAATATGTTTTCATGCAGCTTACGCCTCTAAATATTCTAAAGAACCTCAGTTGTGTAAATTTGTCTTAAATCTCCCAGAAACACCATCACATGCAAATTGAGTATCCAGGTACATAATCATGCCACTGTTGCTAAATACCAGGAAGATAACATTGAAAAATGGTGGGTGAGTTACAAGCAGCTACCCAAAATAAATTTTTACAGACAATAATCTTTCTGCATGGAGGATTTAAAGCTACGAACAAGGGAAAGAAAAAAGTCTCTTGATGTGTGTAGTACACAATGCAGATGTTACAAGGGAAAACCTTTGCCTTATTATCACATGTATTTCTTCAATATTCCAGAGTGAGATGAAGTCATCAGTGCCTCTGCACTTATTAGTGCAGCCAGAGCTGCAGGAAAGAGAGCAGTGATGGAAGCAAAGAGAATCCCACTGGCTTAGCGCCATTACAGACTGGATATTTCTAAATCTCCTCCATACAGTTAGACATAGCCCAGATAAAACTGCACAGATACGCACAAGCAGAGCTCTGCGATGGATCCTCAAAGAATCACATGCAGTGCAACACACCGGCGTGGCCTCTGCCAAGGCCACTTGGGTACCGAACTGCCAGCAGGAACACCCAGTGTCTGATCCTCCAGATCAGGTTGAACAGTGCAATGTCATCATAAAACTGCTTTGGAAGTAAATAACTTGGACAATAACAGACTCTGAAGTTGCAGTCACCTGCTTCCTCTCTCAAATTTAGCATCTGCCAGAAACAAGTTATAGAAGAGTTTTAGATTAACTGCCTGAAGGTCCTGTGCCTTCTCATCTGTCATCCTTAGGAGACAAACTGGGCCCTTCTGCTTAAAGACCGTTCTGTACATTTCAGGCCCTTCCCCATACTCTTCTTTGCTATCTGATGCAGTGATTAAACATTTTATATTTCTCTGCAGTTGTTCTTTCAAATTCCTTACGAAACTGAGACTTGCATTGTTGCTCAGACCCCTTATTTCGAGAGCTGCCTGGAAATTACAACATGTGAAATAATCTCCTATTGTTCAAACCTAGATACTGGCTCACTACTGTGGATGTACCAAACACAAAATATATTAGTTGCAAACTAAATCACACAGTCATTAGTTCAGCTCTGGAGAACTGCTGTAAATGTTCAGCTGCTCCACCATATGATCATGCACATAACACAGTAAATCCTTGTCAAATGCATTTGTCTATGCAGTGAGAAGACACACACTTAGAAAGCAACCAGATTCCATTGATAAAGTGGGTTCAATTACACTGAATTTTGGTAATTTGTGTGGACCTCATAGAGCACCAGGTCTTGGACCAGAGCAACAAGAGCACCCAAAATGTGGAGCACAAATAAACCTCATTTACAGCTGTGTAACTCACTCAATTCAACAACGTTACCAGGATAATGTTCAAGCTGTATATTTTAGCCCTTTGGCAAAAGTGCATGTAAAACTACATCACTCTCCAACATCTTCTGTACCTCTAGGAAGTTTCCGTTTTATTCCTTTAAGTGAGTCAGGACATTAACAGACATACCATTTCCTCACCGCTACTTTCACGGACCTGTTTTTATACTATGGCTCTTGGGCACCTATGTAGCCAGTGAAAACACTCAAGCTGTCCGGGGTATAATTCAGAGAAGGAAACAAGCTTACGTGAATCATTTAGATGAGGCTCTGAAGTCAGATGTTTACATGGCATGAATATAGCGCTCTCCTGATGTCTCCTTGCAACTTATCTTTTAGGAGCAGGAAAGCTTTATTAACATCCTTTGAAAGCTCCATAATGCAGACATCAATCTAGCAAGCCTTTGAAATCAGGCATAACTCTTCCCGCTCCCTGAATCGCCACCTGCCTCCCACAGCACTCAGACAGCTCGGGAATTTGTGGGACGAGATCTCTGCCTAATTTAACCAGTTTTCTTTGCTAAGCAGAGCACAGCACATCCCCTCAACAGCACTCCTACACCCAGAGGACACAGAGGATGTGAGGGACAGCTGCCAATCACCTCTGCTCTTCACTCACCTTGGGTCTCCGCTAGTTCGAATCCACTACTTATCTCAGAAAGGAATGTCAACCACTGGAGAGCAATGCAGGTCTTTTCCCCTCTGAATTAAGAGAGGAAGGTCACTTGTCTATGGTACCCCTGACCACTGCCTGCACTATTTTTGCTGTGGACATGAGGCACACTTTCATAAGGAACATCAGCAACTGATTATTCTCTCCAGCCCACATTATCTAGCCTTTAGGTTACCCATTCAGAAACATTTCCAAACTACAACTATCGTAATGACAGAAAATAGTTTCACAACAGTCTCATCATAGAGCAGCTGTAAAAGTGCACCTGGAAGGACACTCCTACCCCAGCTGCAAACAGGTCTGAATGACCCAACAAAGCAATCAGCATTAGCAATGGTCAAAAGCATCAAATGCAGTCACAGGTCTCTGGTCTGGAATCAGCCAGACATGAACATGATGTAGGGATGGCTCTGCAGAGCACGTCCTGTTGCACTTGGAAGAATGAGTCAACAATCTGAAAACCAAGGAGAAATTCAAACCCAGCCTTTCTCAAAGTGGGGCTCTGGTGTTGCGGAGAGGAGCAGAAATGCAGGACCAGAAGTTGTGGACTGACTTCTTCGGCAGCACCATGCTCCAACAGCCCTGGGACTTGTGACTTGACACAGGCAAGTAACAGCTAATGAACTGCAAAGAGCTGAACTGCTTCTCGTCACTATTAACCCAAATCCACCACTACTCCAAGGACAGTCTTAATGTGTTACCTTCAGAGTAGGTGCTTCACATCATTATTATGACATGGAAGAGCTTTAACGGACCAACATGCATAAAACTTCAGTTTCACAGTGTTCTGTATGAGTCCCAGCTGAAAGCCTCATCCAGCTTCTTAAAGAACCATTGTTTGGAAATAACTTTAGTAAAGGAAATGTATTAGGGAGAAGAAAAAAGGTAAATCTAATTTTCAACCCAATTTCATGCCTGTGTATTATAAAACAACTTAAACTAGCAAAGCTGTCAGCAACAGCAAAAGTGAGGTACGCTCTCAGTGCAATTCTGACTGCTGAAGTTAATGCTGTTATTGATAAAGTAATGCAGACAATATTGTTGAAATTATCATTTTCCATATTCTTACTTAAAGAGTGCTCCCTCACACTTTTTTCTGCACAGAACTTGAATATTCAAGAAGGACACTTTAGAGTGACAGAATTTACACTGTATGAGGCAATGCTGAGTACACCTCTACCCATACAAACCAAAGCAGGCTCCAAGTCATTCATTCCCAAATCACCTTCTTCACAAAAGCATACCTGCTTCAGCTGCCAGGATGAACAACCCCTTTAAGTCCTGCACAGTCAAGCCAACAAATAAACTAATATGGATCTAAGCTGAGAACAGAAGAGTTCTGCCTCCATTTGTGGAAAGGTGGAAAACATCATTGCTGGGGTTAACTCCAGACCCCTTCAGCAACCAAATCTGTGTCTTTCTGGTGGCTACTGGAGACCTGAATCAGCTGCTAACGTTCAAAAATGCTAAGCTGTTCCTTAAAAGAAAAGTTCCAAGTTACCAAAGGAAAACTTCCAGATTGAATTACAAACCAGGAAAAACACAGACTGTGGTTTCAAAAAAGGGGACAAGCAGCATGCACCATAGTGCCCAGCTCCCGGAGCCCAGCTGAGGCACCTCGGTTAAGAGTCTCCCAGTCTACTCAATCCAGGCTTCTCTAAAGGGCAACACCTACATCACTACGCCTACAAGCGGAGGTGTGATTATTTCTCTCAAATTCAGAAACACCGCATTTCATTCACAAGAAGATCTTAAGGCAGCTACTTTAAACTTGCAATACAATTGGAACAGCACTCCAGTTTAAACAGATTTAAGATGTGATCAGGCAGCAGAAGAGGAGACAACTGTGATGCTGATTTCCACCCCTTTCCCAGCATGAAGTCAAATATAGTGATTTCTTATCTATCGGTTAAGAAAGGTGCATGCGATTTTCAGAAAAAAGGAGGACTTGGATCACAGGCTTACAAAGAACAACACTAAGGACTTTAAGCTCTAGACTTTAAAAGTCATATTAGCAATAAGATGTTCAATTATTTGAACTTCACCTTGATGACGTGTCTATTCCATTTAACTTCTCTCCCAACTGTGA